CTGCAGCGGTAGAGGCGGGCATACCCTGAGCGTCCTTGTGGGCAATGTGGCTGATGTGTTCGCCGGGGCCACCCTCGCCCTCGTACCACTCGGCTGCGATGAAGATCACGACCTCGGCGTTGCCTACAGTGCAACAGTCAGTGACAGTTCTGCTTGTCGTGCTCCGGCGACGGCGGCGGCAGTGGCAACGGCAGTGAGTACTCACCCTGGCTCTTGTCAGCGGCGATGATGGAGTAGTACTGCGCACTCTTCTGGTGCAGCGACTGCTCCCAGTGGACGGTGGCCATGTGGCTGGCGTCGACGTTGGCGGGGACGAGCAGGACGTTTCCCTTCTGGACAGGCATTGTTGTCTGGTTGAGAGTGAAGCTGGTAGTAGAGCTAGCTGTGCAGTGAGAGTGTGGTGCAGTTCTGGTCTGTATCGGTCAAAATGCAGTAGAATTTATACGTTCACTGCGCGCTTCATCATTCACAGTTTGGTAGTTGTCATAAAGTCTTCATGAGCACTGGGGCGAAAAGGTTCCGCTCCTATCCTGCACAGCAGCACTTGGTCTAGAGCATCAGCTACAACAATATGGCTAACCGAAGTGGGAAAGTGAATAGACAAGTCGCCGCTCCCCATGCTCTGGCCTCGGGTGGGCAAGGCTGACATCCGAAGCATCGCGTAGGCAGAGACGGTCGGCGAGGTACAACCGCCGTGCGCGCGCCCTGACAGCTAGATCTGGCTTGTAGTCACATGCACCGACTGTTATCGCTTCAGAAATCCCATCAAGAGCGGTGGCTTGACAGGAGGCGCCTACGTCGGGCGTACCTGGAAGTCCAGAGCTTTCGGGCGGCTCTTTGCGGTCGAAGTAGCGAAGGACAATACGAAATGCACAAAGGATTGCGTTGACTCTTGGACAGCGTGGAATATTGTGGACCATTAGAGGACCTTCATTCTTGGGCCTGAAAAGAAATTTGCTAGCGGCGGCGAAGAGAAGGTGGCAACTGTGGAGTAACGGAGACCGTTTGACATGTCCAGTGTATCCAGAAGCAATCTCCGTTTGCTGGCTGGAAAGGGCATCTTTTGTTTTGGTTACGTACAGAAATCCTATACACAAGAAACGTTAGTCCAGCCCAAATATTCGACGACATGGATTCTCGAGGTGACACGGATTATATTGCCCGGTGCGAGCTACACGCCCTCCATGCGACGCACGGGGAGCTGTGAACATCGACGGGCATGGAAATCGCTAGAGCGCGAGACGGGTCGCCAGTCGGCGGAGGAGGTGTGGGCTGCTTGCCCCATAATCCGATCCCACTCGAGTCTGCTTTTGTGATAGATTTTTTCGAGATGATGGAGCCGCTTAGCGTCAGCGTTATCGAGCTTCCACAGAGCGGTGTCGTCTGACAGCGGCTGGGCGCAACGAAAACCACCGACCAACGCTACACCGGTGGGACGATAGACATTGCGCGAACCTTCAGTCCTGTCGTTGCTTACAATTGGATAACCCGGTCTTGCATGTCACCATGGCATAGATACGAATACGTCTGCTAGCTCCACGTGTGGCACTAAAGGAAGAATGAATAGATAGCCTAAATAAATGTCAATACCAAACAAAATGACAAGCGAACCAGCTCCCAATCGGTGTCGGTGGCACTTCTGGGGTACCGAGGAGGACGACGCCAACAGCAATCGCCTTTCCGCCGCCCACAGGCCTAGACAGTTGAGCATTTGAAGCTCTACTCGGTGTTGTAGCACCGCCGTCGAGCGCGGCCTAGGTACCTCCTCGCGTGCCAGGAACGAACGCGTACGCGGACCAACAACAGGCCGCCGCCAGCGCGATCAACAAGAAAGCGCTGGCATGGTGGATTGACGAGGAGTACATGATCACGGACGGAGTCAGTGAGCTGAAAGCAGGAAGATTTAGTGTATTATTTATGCTCGGGTGTTTTAAAAATTGTGGTGATACCGATCGAGCTTGTTTCGGAGGTTACAACCCCCCTCCCCCCCGGCCGGCTCTTTGGAGAAGAATAATAGTTCTTTGTGGTACATTCTGACAAGCTAATAGATTCGTCCGTAAGCTGAGCACCCAAGAGTAAATACAACTCACTGTATGTACCCGTATGGAGGGCGGGTGCGGGTGCGACCGCACAGCCGGTGATGGTAGGATCTGGTGTTGGCCAGGTTAGGCCTCTTGGCGGCACGAAGATCATCAAAAGCTCTGGTTCTCGCCAGAGCATCCTCAGAGCTAATACGGTGTCGAAATGCAGCTGAGATTTCACAGCCAGAGTATCGCATCGAGTTACGGGTTAACAGGCGGGCTCTGTACGTTGCTAAGGTAAATTCAAGCATACCATGTTATGATAGAACGCCTTGTTTAGTAAAACATTAATTTATGCATTGAGAGGCTGCCAGAAAAGACGTTCACGGGATCTGTGGGTGTCGGTGAATATCGACGACTGAGTCGAAGTTTCGAACGGACTAGCTCAGCAGTCACGGGGCTGGGGCTTACGTAAGACGCATTTCGGTAGCGCGTAGTTAAACGCACGTCGCATACCGCTCGCTGCCCGGGATGTTACCTCGAAAGTTTCCTGGTCAACGCACCACTAACGACGTAAGTTACTGCATCTGCTGAATCAATGTATCACATTTTGTTGTCAGAAGTCGAGGAATCTTAGGGTCGGCGTACTTGTACTCCGAGTCTCCGCCGACTCAATCCACTGCCAGCGAGTACGTGCTGACGAATGCCTGCCCTTCATTTCTCGTACATTGACGATTTCTTTGGGAGGCTCGTCAGTCACCGTATTGCGTGCTGCATACTACAATATCTTCGATGGCAGAGGCTTCGCATCCGAGCTTGGCTATAACTCCATTAAGTGCCATCAGTCCCTGGAGCTGATACGTTGCGTGTTGGGACTATCCGCCCAGAAAATTCTGTGTCACATGAATATATGGACTCGTCGTTGTTGGCTAGTTTCTAGCTCTGATTAGACGGTATTTTCTCATGCATATATATTTTCGGCTTATGTCAAGCTAACATCTACGTTTGACCCTCTCTATCCGGATGACCTCCCACGAAGACACAGAACGGTATTTGGTAAGATATTTAATTAAGCTGAGATCAACTCTGGATTCACTGAAGCTCCGTGAAAAACTACGTTCGCTTTACCCTAAAACTTGCTCCAGGCACGAGAATGGAGGCCTTCAAATGCTTACCAATATAACCCGCTGCTCGGACACTGTTATCATCCGCTTCGCATCCCGTATTTTGTTTCGCAATCTCGACCACAAAGAGTCCTTTTGAAATTTTAGACGTCTAGCCACAGCCGACCCGAGCAGTCATACCGGCGCTTCCTGGCAGGCCCGCTGTTCCTGACACGGTGGCAGTTGGCGCACATGTCCTGGAGAGGCACAGCTGTCTCCGTGCACGTCCGGTGGTTGTATGTCGCCGACTGTCTTCCCCTACGCGACGCCACGGGTGTCGACCTTGTACACCCGAGGCAAGAGTACGATAGGCGATGTGCCGCACTACTACCTCCCGTACGCTGACTTGTCCACTCGCAGCTCGTGACACCACCAAGGTGTGCCCTGCTAGTACAGACAAAGCGCGCAGTAAATGTATAAATTCTACTGCATTTTGACCGATACAGACCAGAACTGCACCACACTCTCACTGCACAGCTAGCTCTACTACCAGCTTCACTCTCAACCAGACAACAATGCCTGTCCAGAAGGGAAACGTCCTGCTCGTCCCCGCCAACGTCGACGCCAGCCACATGGCCACCGTCCACTGGGAGCAGTCGCTACACCAGAAGAGTGCGCAGTACTACTCCATCATCGCCGCTGACAAGAGCCAGGGTGAGTACTCACTGCCGTTGCCACTGCCGCCGCCGTCGCCGGAGCACGACAAGCAGAGCTGTCACTGACTGTTGCACTGTAGGCAACGCCGAGGTTGTGATCTTCATCGCAGCCGAGTGGTACGAGGGCGAGGGTGGCCCCGGCGAACACATCAGCCACATTGCCCACAAGGACGCTCAGGGTATGCCCGCCTCTACCGCTGCAGCCTGCGTTCTCTGACGTTTACACGATGTGCACCAGGGTTCTATGAGGTGACGATCGACGACAGGTCCAGTACGACAGAAG